ATTTTTCCCCCTTTATTTAAAAATAAAGACGCAGCCCTAATTGTTGGGCGAGCTGGCCCAGGCAGGCGAGTTGACTGTGAACTTGTACTAAAGCGTGCTCTGCTGGCGATTCCTAGGGTGTGCAGATTTATCTTCTCTGCATTTACTTAACCCGGCAGTGAACTGCGCGGGCGTCATTTGTTAGGTGATGACAGACTTCACCTCTAGCAAGGGCTGCTTCACAAAATCGCAATAATTACCCAATAACCTTCATAACAAATATTATTATTGAAAAGGCCAGTTTGTGGGGAGGGGGCATGGTGGGGGAAGGAAGCTTTCTTTGTAAAAAACAAACAAAACAAACCTAGGCAAATCTTCTAGTTCTGGGGCTTTGAATGGCCAGGACTGAGACGCCCCACTCCTGTGTGGGCGGGAGCCTACGTTGACCCCCTTAGCCCTGTCTGGAAGCCCCATTTATAGTTTTGTCATTGACTAGAAAGAAATTCTGCCCTAGAAGCCAAAGGGATAGAGCCACACGGTTCTGTTCTGCACTCTCCATGGTGGGCAAACCTCAGGCAGACTCCCAAGCTAAGGCAGGGAGAGGCTTCGAAGGGCATCTTTTAAGCTAAAAGGGTTGTTTTCCTCTCTAATAGCCCATCTTCAAGGATGTAATTTGCTCTCCCCTCACTAATTGTTTGGATATAATACTCTTCACATCTCAACAAATGAACATGACTCCGTTTCTGGTAGAAAATTCTGTCTTGCTCTCCCAGAGCCGCCAACAATGAAGCAGGGAAAGAGCAGAAGAAAAGGAATCTTGGCATAATGTTGTGGAATTAGACCATGGAAACCCTAACAAACCCCTAAGTGAGTGTGACCAGAAGCTTCCTATTATATTTATAGTTCAGGAAATATTGTCTCTGCGGCTTGTAGAAACAAACAGGGCCCTGCACATTTCAGACACCTTCTCCTTTTACAAGACACGGAACACAGACAGACACTTCTGCCACCGGCTGAGGCTCGATGTCTTCATAAAGCTCTCAATGACAGATATTTTCTAAAGAATTTTCTCTGCAAAAACAACCCAAAAGAATGCAGGAGAAATAACTTATCTACAAAAATGAGCAGATAACCAGCCATCCTCTTTACTATGCTTCCTGTGAAAATAGGAAGAAAGAAAAAAATTTCTCCAGGAATGCTCACGTAGGTCTGACTGGATGCTGTGTGTGTGTGTGTGTGTGTGTGTGTGTGTGTGTGTGTGTGTGTGTTTAAGTCATTTAACTCCATGTGAGTTGGCCTGCTCCTTAAACTCTAAAGTTTTATGAAGATTACAGCAGACAGAAATAAGCAAGCTGACAATATTTATAGCCTCTAAGTCTTTTAAATCATGGGAAAGTTTCTCTATATTGTGTGATGCTGGCTATGGGTCCAACAGCCTTTCTGCCCATTCCCACACCCCAGGGTGGGATGTGGCCACGGAGGTGGTATGGCCACTTCCTCCACGCAAGTTACTCAAGTGAATCTGCCAGCGGCCCTATCACTCTTTTTTCTGCTACTAATTTTAGTCATCAAGAAATCACTCAAGCAAGATCACCAAGTGAGCAACTAAAATAAAACCTTCACCCAGCATTTTCCAATAAAGAACCCAAAACTCAGAGCAGCGAAACAGAGACTCCAGAATTCTTACAGACACTTAAAATAAAAAAGACAACCCAAAGAGAGTTTCTATTCTGGTCCCCACCAAGGTGCAGGCACGTTTTCCTGAGCACTGGCACCGCAATGCTCCCTCTCACAGGGCACAAAACATGACCTCAGGGATCTTCCTTGCCACTCACTATTCAAGAGAAGTGGGACTTGGAGGAGGGTTTCGATCTTTCAGAAAACTTCCCAGGTTTTGCTCTTTGGACCTCTGTCTTTGGGAACATCTGTTGGACTAATGTTGGGTAGGAGTGGCCTGTGTACAATAAAGTATGTAGAAATTCCAAATCTACACTTTAAGTTTTTTCACTTGGAGCACTTAGTACATATCTTTACCAATGAGCACTTGCAGAAAGCTACCCAGTTCCCAAGGAGAAAAGCATGTGGAGGCAGAAGATCCCATTTTTTGTTTGTTTGTTTCATTTCTAAGTTGGAAAATTTGGCTTAATTCCTCAGTCGGGATGGGGGAAATCCGCAAGGTCCCATGTGAGTACCCATCCAGAGAAATACCCATCCTGAGGGACAGGCCACAGCATCCCAGCCACCGCTCTGCCACGGAAGAAGGGGGGCGGGGGGGGGGGGGCGAGGGGTTGGGTAAGGCCAAGCTGGAATTGTACCCAGGAAAGATTTCTTTCACCTTACTTCACCCATTGGTGCAATATTGGGGACTGTTTTGGAAATCATAGATTATGTAAATTTCCTGGGATCAAACAGAAAGAGCAGCTAACAAAAGAAAGGCGGAAATCTCCTACTGACAAACGACCAATTTCTTCCCTCAACTACCCTTTATGACGTGTCAGGGAAAACAACCTAATGGCTCTGGGGACTTTTAAGTTGGGCGTTGAAGACACCTCGATTTCCCCCAAAACTTTAGGGCACAGTTGGGAAGAATTCCCCCTGTATGTTGAGGGGGAGTACATTTCTCTATCTTTAGAGTTATCTAAGGGGGGGGCGCCTTAGTTGCCTTTTGAGGGCCCTGTACATGGATGGTTCAAATTCTACAAAAGAAGAGAGAAAAAGGAAAGAGAGTGAAAAGAGAGGCGAGGCGGAAGAAAAGAAAGCGCCGTAACTCCTTTCATTTAGCCTGGGGATTCAAAGACTAAAGTTAAATCCGGCCATAAAGTTTATTGCTTCAGACTCACAGGCGGGTGAGAACAGTCCCACCGAAATAAAAAGAACGTGCAGGCCAGCAAGGTTCAGGGCCTGGGCCCGGGGCGGGGGAGGGGTGGGGAGCCGGGGTCCCCAGCGCCCTGGGCTCGGCCTGGCAACCCAGGGGCCCCGCCGACCTCTGCCACCCTCTGGCTCTCTGGAGCCGCCTGAAACCCGGCCCGAAGGCGGCCGCCTCCGTTCAGGGCTGCCAAATGACCCAGGCCCCGCGAAGACATATTGCCACAGCCCCACAAGGAGTCCCGCCGGAGTCCGCCTCGGCAGGGCCCGGCCTGGCCTTTCTTTCCAACTCCCAAGCTCAGCGCGGCCCTGGCGCCCGAGCGCGCCCCACTGCCTCCCAGTCCCCACCCCAGGGCTCCGCGACCCCCCCAAGAACCAGGACCCGCCAGCCCGGGATGGGGGCGGCCCAGCCACGAATCCACACGCAGGCCCACCGCACACAAAACTCATCTTTCTGCAGGGCGAGCGCGGCGGAAGTCATTGCCAGCCGCGGCCCCGCAGTTAGAGGCAGGCCTGGGGGTGCGCCGGCCCAGGCGCGGCTCACCGCGTGGCCCGCGGAGCAGGCTCCTGGCGCTGCTGGGGCGCGGAGGGAAAGCTGGCGGGACCCCACCCCCCTTTTGAATTCAGGGGCAACCTCAGAGTTACTGACCCAGAGACAGAGAAAGCGCCCGAGAGAGAACTCCAGGAAGAAGAAAGTTTTCAGGGTACAAATAAACTCGAAAGTGCTCAGGAGGCGAGCTTACCTTAATTCGGAGGGAGCCATTTTTCAGAGAGTTTTGAGAACTTGTGGTTTGGACACTTCTGGACCTAAAATTGACAATTTGAATGACCAGGCGGCACACGTAGCCTGCAAAAGAGTCAAATGGAGTCCAGCGTCAGTGAGATTATATGTTATGTGGTATATAATGTTGGATGTCAACTCCCCAAAACCATAAAACTTACTTTAATGGCCCCACGTGACGTTTTATAGCCAGTGAGCCGATCTGTCTGTGCTATGGATGATTTTACGATCTAATTCATAGACAAAACCCTATTCATTTGGCACCCAAATGTCATATAGCCGGAACTGGGGCTTATAAAGTTTACTGTTTTATAACTTTTAAAAGGAACGAAGGCATCAGTGTAAGCAGTCGGTAAATGTGCAAATCTCTAGTTGTGCTTTAGCCGCCCTGAGGAGTTTCCCAATCGAGCTAGGATGGGGTAAGTACCTTCCATTTGTAGCAAATTAATTGTAGCATAAGAAGCCAACTGGGTTCAGGGTGAGGCGTGGGAAGGGGTGCCTGGGTGGGTTAGAGGCAGCGAGTTTGGGGGCCACAACTTGGCATAGCAGCCTCTTCAAGTGGAGGCCCAGGATGGCCTTAGAAACAGGCAGCATCTGTGTGGGCCCCGTGGGCCGCTAACAAAGCCCTGGGCTCTTCCTCCTCTCTCTCTCTTCCTCTGTTTCGTACCCAGCAAGTTTACTTGGTTTCCTCAGAGATGGGCAGGTTGGACTCAGGCTTTGGGAACACCTACAGCTTCCCACCTTCTGTCCTGAACTTTCTGAAAGGTCAGAGTTAGGAAGGCTGTGGGTCAGGGTGTCCGTCTGAGGTCTCCTGGCACAGGCAGGCTGCTCAGGTAGCCTCAGACTCACCCGCCTCCAGGACTGGACAGACAGACAGAGGAGCAGAAAGAGCCGCTCACTATTTGGCACAAACCAGACCAAGAGAACTTACAATAGAAAGTTTATTTTTTGTTTCCAGTCAGTATTTTTTTCCTTAAAAACAAATACAAAAAAAAAAAAAAAAAGCTGATCACAGTTTGCTTAAACAGCCAGACTTGGACAATATTTGTAACTTTGTTCACAAAAACATACATCACTGAAGCTGCGCTTATCAGAGCCACTTCCAGAGTTCGTGCAAAGGGTCCTACAAAGGCACGCAGGGACACACCGCTCGGGGCCACAGTTTTCGTCACAGAGTCACTAGTCACTACACGTCAAACAAGTTAAGTTGTGTCTCATCAAGTCACCGCTACAACAGCATTACTTACACAAGGAATATAGGTAGTTTGAATAAAAATATCTTTAACAGCTTGGAGCTATTGAGACAGGAACACTTCCACTCACATGCACAGTTAAACAACTGGAGTGCAACACACAACATTGGCACTAAACGAGGTCGAAGGGGGACTTTTTTGTGTGTTTTTTTTTTTCTCTTTTCTTTTTTGTTATAGTTACTTCAAGTAACACAGCTTGCTTCATATAAATAAGTTAAAACATCTATTTTTTTTTTTTCAAGACAAAGCCATTCAGGACAAAGAGATGAACAGAAAGCAGATCTACTTATACAGGCGCTATAATGGCGATAAACAGGCTCATGATTAAAAGATGAATTGGGGCAACGAGAACAGGGCTTCTTCACAGAAGGAACACAGGGGTTTCAGAAAGTCACCTTAGCACTGACACTACGCGGGGCGCTAATACTGCTCAGTACTTTAAGCGCTCAAACACTCAGGGGCGGAAGGCCCCTCCTGCCGCCGCCATGCTCATGCTTTTCAGCTTGTTATCTTTTTTCCACTTCATTCTCCGGTTTTGGAACCAGATTTTAATTTGTCTCTCGGAGAGGCAAAGAGCATGCGCTATTTCAATCCTCCTTCGGCGGGTCAGGTAGCGATTGAAGTGGAACTCCTTCTCCAGCTCCAGGGTCTGGTAGCGCGTGTAGGCCGTCCGGGCCCTTTTGCCTTCCGGGCCGCCTATGTTGTCTGCAACAGAAAAGTCAGCGGTTTAGCCACCAACTCCTCAGCCCCTGGCCACCAAAGTCCGCCAGCTGGACGAGCCAGGGTCCTGAGCAGGGAACAGGAGAGAAAAAGCTCAACAAGTCCTCCCTCTTCGCCCCCCCCCCCCCCCAATTTCCTTCCCTCTTCCTTTCTAGAGAGAAAACAATACGATTTGGACTCTGGGAACAATCAGGCCATCTGAGGCTGGAGCTGCGCCCCTGAGGATCCCTCGCTCTCCCCCCCAGCCCTCTCCTACCCTCTGGCCCTGCCCTGGTGCCCCGAGGCGAGGGCACAGCCCTTCCAGGCTGCCGTTCAGAAACCCACCAAAGCAGGGCCCTTTTCTGAGCGCCCAAGTGGCCTCTAGATCACTCTCCCTTAAAGTTCCAGCCCCGAGAGCCGCCGCCTGTTCCAGCCTGCACGCTTGGGGCGCCTGCTTTCTTTTTCTTCCCTTTCCTTTCCTGCTCTTCCTCCTGCCCCCAAACTTCAGAGTCCCGTCGGCTCTCGCCGGGATTATGCCCCCCCAAAGCCCCTTTTCGGGGACTCTAATTAGTAACGCTGTTTCCCCAGCGTAGCCCTCCTCATAAATTATCCGTCCTGACAAGCCCGATTCACAGCCCCTACTGCCATCCTCTACCTCTGCGCCCTGCTTGGCTGGCCTGACCCGGGAGCGCGTTCCGAGGCGCTGGGGTTCGACCTGGGTTTTCTCCTTTCCCCCCTTTCCACGTCTAAACTTGCCTATCCAGCGGCTCCCCTCACCACCACCACCCCCACCCTGAGAACGCAGGGCGCTGCGAAGAAGAGGAGGAGGATGGAGGAAGGCAGGGAAGGAGACCGGCGGGGAGAGGCTCCACGGGGCTGGGAGAGGCGAGACCAGGAGACAGAACGGGGAGAGAGGGCGGCAGAGGAGAGAGGGAGAGGGAGACGGGGAGCCGCGCCCCCGCGGCCGCGTGGATTTAGAAAAAGGCTGGCTTTACCATGACTTATGTGTAGCTTGCGCATCCAAGGGTAGATCTGGGGTTGGGCAGGCGGCGCCGGGCTCGGCTCGCTCTGCGCGCTCGCCTGCTCGCTGCTGGCGGGGGCGTCCTCCTCGGCTCCGGACGCCGTGCCAACCCCCTCTCTGCTGCTGATGTGGGTGCTGCCGGCGTTGGCCGAGGCGCTGCTGGAGTTGCCCAGGGAGTTTTTCCCGCCGTGGTGGCTGTCGCTGCCGGGCGAAGGGGCCACGGCGGAGCAGGGCAGCGGGTCGGGCGGAGGCGAGTGCGTGGATGTGGCCGGCTGGCTGTACCTGGGCTCGGCGGGCGCCGCGCTGGCGCCGGCCGCGTAGCTGCGGGCGCGTTCCCCGGAGCCAAAGTGGCCGGAACCCGAGCGGCCGACGCTGAGATCCATGCCATTGTAGCCGTAGCCGTACCTGCCGGAGTGCATGCTCGCCGAGTCCCTGAATTGCTCGCTCACGGAACTATGATCTCCATAATTATGCAACTGGTAGTCCGGGCCATTTGGATAGCGACCGCAAAATGAGTTTACAAAATAAGAGCTCATTTGTTTTTTGATATGTGTGCTTGATTTGTGGCTCGCGGTCGTTTGTGCGTCTATAGCACCCTTGCACAATTTATGATGAATTATGGAAATGACTGGGACATGTACTTGGTTCCCTCCTACGTAGGCACCCAAATATGGGGTACGACTTCGAATCACGTGCTTTTGTTGTCCAGTCGTAAATCCTGCCTGATGACCTCTAGAGGTAAACTCGTGCACTAATGGGGGAGTTGGGTGGAGGCGAGAGGGGTGGAGCGCGCGCCCCGGGCGCGTGCCCGCCGCCCGCCACCGCCGTTCAGTCGGACTCGAGCGCCACCCGCTGGAGGCAGGGCTCATCGCTCCGCTTCCGACCCGGGGCTGCAAGGGCCGGGGTCGAATTGAGGTTACAGCCCATTATGGCAAAATTATTGCATTTCCCTCGCAGTTCCATTAGGATGTACCAATTGTGAGGCCGTCAGCTGCCGATCGCGTGCCCGGCGAGGATGCAGAGGACTGGGGGGAGATGGTGACTTGGATTTTATTTACAACAACTTTATTTCCCCGCTGTGCAGCCCCTCTTATTTTTATGTCGAGGTTGGGGTCGGTTCTGCCCGTCACGCCGGCAGCTCTGAAATTTGAAAATACAGATATCACCTTCAGGGGAGTGGGGGGAAGCCATTTAGCCAATTGGAGAAATAAATCCTGCCCTGGGCAGTCGCTACAATTACGGCTCTGTTTTTGGCGAGCGCAGGAGGGACAGTGTCCCCGCCGCTCTTAAATGACAGGCGTCTATTAAAGATAGCTTTTGTGTAGTGTTTCTCCGAGGCGAGGTCACATTCCACACACTTCTATAACCAGATTCGATTTTCCTTTCATGTAAATTTGGCTTTTCGTGTCATTAGCTTGCTGTTTGCTTTGCTTTAAGGATCCAGCCTGGAGAATCTTCACCACTAGGTCTTTTTCCTGGAGCCAGGCGGGCCCCAAGTCGGAGGGGTTCTAGGTGAACCCAGCGAGCGGGCCGAGGCTCCCCGCAGCTACGGAAGCTGCTTGAGGGCTGGCGATTTCTGGGCCGCGTTATTAGGGTTTTGCTTAGTCCTCCAGGAGTGAACTGAGGACGCTAAAGGAAGCATTTCCAGACAGTGCCTCGCATCCCCGTAGTTACTTTCCTGGGTTCTGAAAGATGAAAGTAAACCACAAATGCAGCTGAAAGGCAGGGGAGGGTTTCCCCGCTGGAGGCCCTGCGTCGCAGACAGCCCTGGCAGGCTGGAAACCATGATTCTTGCCGCTCCCACGGCTCTGGGCCCCCTCCTCGGGTCCCGAAAGCGCTGTTGGCACTGTCGGAGGCGAGGAGCTGGATTCCCGAGTCCTGAGCCTTCGGGAGCCCAGCGTGTCCCGGGCTGTGCAGTTCCACCCGCGCTCAGGTTGACTGGGCTCGACTGAGGCTCCTTCTCTTCCACGGACGGTTGTGCGGGGCAGAGAGGCTAGACTCTCCGCGGGGAGGGGAGCCTTTGTTCCTGGAGCTCCTTCCTGTCTGGGGGCAGCCTGGGAGGCCACCGCAGTGCTGGGGCCCCAACCTTTAGGTCCCCTCTTTGCAGTGGCCAGAGTCGATTTGGTGGTGCCCTCCGGGACTTGGTGGCGAGGGACCGGGGCCAAAATGCCCAGACACCAAAAGAGGGTGGGTCCCGGGGTTCTTTCCTCTCCAGCAACCCCGAGTCCCGTGCCAGAGGCGTGCAGAGGCGCTACACAAGACTCAGGGACGGATTTGGGGCGCGCACTGGGATCCGGAGCGGCTTGGGCAGCCTTGGAGAGCGGGATTGTGTGTGCAGTGTGCCCCGCTCCACCGCTGGGATTGGCTGTTGTGTGTGTGTGTGTGCGTGTTATTGTTGTTGGTTTTTTTATGTTGCTGCTTTTTTTTTTTTTTTGTAAGAAATAAATGCTCAGGCGTTTGCAAAGCTCCGGGCTCCCCTGAAGCTGCGTAAGCCCCCCAGATGGTAGCAGGCAGGGAGAAAGGTTGGGGAGCAGGCGAAGGCAAGGGAGCAAAGCCGAGGGAGGTCGCGCCACTGGCCTGGTCCCTGCCCAGGCGCCTACTCGCCCGCTTTTGCCTCAGCTTCCTCCCCGCTGGGCTGTGTGGAATTGATGAGCTTATTTTCCTTTTTCCACTTCATGCGGCGGTTCTGGAACCAGATCTTGATCTGGCGCTCAGTGAGGCAGAGCGCGTTGGCGATCTCGATGCGGCGGCGCCGGGTCAGGTAGCGGTTGAAGTGGAACTCCTTCTCCAGCTCCAGCGTCTGGTAGCGCGTGTAGGTCTGGCGGCCTCGGCGCCCGTGGCTCCCGTACACAGCACCTGCGGGCAGAAAGGGCCAGGCGCCCGTGAGCCTGGATCTGGGCAGCTGAGCCAGTCAACCCCGCACCCCAAGCCTCTGGGCTGGAAACCACTCCGCCTGCACTTTCCCCTCTCCCACAATCTTGGGCCAAAAGCCTCCAGATGGGAGAAGATTATTTCATACCAAGCGAGATGTTTTCCACCTAAAATGACTTGGGGTGGGAAGTTATTGTTTTTTAAAAACCTGCTCAGTACAAAACAAAATTACAAGCAAAAGAATATAACGGGCGTTCTTAATTTGGGGTACCTAAGTCATGTTTTGTGGGAATGCAGTGTGTGTATGTCTGGGAGTGGGGGTGTGGAACCCTATGAGTAGGGTAGGCACCCTGCATCCACATATGGATGTCTGTGGAGATGTGACTGTGGCCAGGCATCCCAGGACGGCTGGAGAAGCACTCAATGTGCTTTTTGGGAAATTAAGAATGGTCAGCCTTCTCAGATCTTTGCAAATTCCCCCAAATTGTATGGCCCCATCTGAGAAATGCAAAGCTTCCTTGAAAAACAAAACAGTGGATGTTAAAGCAAAACACTGTAAGTTTTCAAATTCGCATGAGGCACTGTCCTGCTCCGAGGATTCCCTGTGGAGTTTTTGGGAGCGATGGGCCAACTGGGGTTCCTGGAAATGTAGGACTGTGATGGGCTATTTGTTCTGGTGCCAAAGGGGCCCGTGGGTGGGGGCTCCCTCCAAGCTGGGTGACTGGGATGCGGGCAGGGTCTTAGAAGGAGGCAGAAGTTGGCTGTAAGTGAGCAGTTGAGTGGAAGTGGGAGGAGGGGAGGGAGGAGAGAGAAGAAATACTGCAACTGGGGATGTGGCCCTCCAAGGCTTTGGGGTAACCCTGGAAGAGGCCAAATAAGGGCCTCTTTCTATATGAGTGTATGAAGGGCAGAAAGGAGAGGGGGGTGGCAGGTGAAGGGGAATCAGCAGTGATGGGTGCAGAAGGCCACCTGGGTTTGGGAATCTGAGCAGGGTGCTACCTGGGTGCAGTGTAGGTAGGATCTCCCTCCCATCCAGCCTGGCTTCTCGTTAGTTTGCCCCTGTCTTGGGGCTCACATAGCATGGCAATGACCCCCCCCACACACACACACACACACTCCTCTAAGGTGTCACCTTACATGGACACTAGTGCCCTGCCTTCACTCTGCCTCAGCTTGATTGCTCCGTTGGGAATGGGTTGGTATTTTTTTTAATCTCTCTTTTTTAAAGCTAAAGAAACTTTGTTCATTCTTTTCTCCTGTCTTTCTATCTTCCTTCCTTCCTTCCTTCCTTCCTTCCTTCCTTCCTTCCTTCCTTCCTTCCTTCCTTCCTTCCCTGCCTCCTTCCCCCTCTCCCTCCACTTTCTAGGGGGGAGGGTGCTGCAGGGAAATGTCTTACCCGCACAGGAGTTCATCCGCTGCATCCAGGGGTAAACAGGACTCGTGTACTTCCGGTCGGTGCCTTCGTCATGGAGGGCTTTGCCCGGCACGCTGCTGCTGTCGGATTTGTACTGCTGCTCGGGAGAAAAGTGCAGGTAGTCCCCGGGGCCCCTCTGCTTGCCACTGCCCGAGGGCGAGGCGCCACTGAGGTCCTTATCAGAATAGAAACACGAGGCCCCGTACTCGTAGGACGCCCGGTTGCAGGCCAGGACCGAGTTGGACTGTTGGTAGAAACAAGGTGAGGTGTACGTCTTGTCCGGGAGGCTCGACGCCCCGTACGAGGCCGGGAAGGGCCTCAGCGCGTCATAGCCGGCCGGGTAGAGGGGCAGCTGGCCCAAGAAGGAGTCCTGGCCGCTGGGCAGGCTCCCGGGGAAAGTGGGATTCACAAAATAGGAACTCATTTGCGCGCCCCTCTGCAGGACTGTGATTTGTTGTGTATTAGTACATCTGGCTATAACTATTAGTAGTCATCGAACTGGTTTGTTTCTGGATGGCCGAACGCCAAAAGCGACAGCAGCAAATCGCACCAGCTGACGCGGCGGCGGCCAATGGGAGCGAGCGCCGGAGCCCGCTCCCCGGGGACCGCGGCGACCGAGGCAGCAAAGTTACAAACAGCCCCCAGCCCACCCGCCCGCCGCCCTCTGGCAGATTGATGGGCGCGCACAGCCGGCCGGCCCGGCTCCCTTCCCCAACGCCGGCGGCGGGCACGGCCCTCAGGCCGGGGTAGGGGCGCCCAGGCCCCGCCAGGCCCCGCCAGGCCCGCTCTTTCCTCCTCCCCTTTTTGCCTGGTTAGGTTTTGCTGGTTTCTCTCTCCAAACAGGAACCCTGACAGCCCCGCGCCCGGAGGGGCGGTGACGAGTGTGGCTGGGCGCTGTGTGGCCGGCCCTCCCGGCCGGGGTGGAGTTGCCCCTCCCCCTGCGCTCCCCTACCCTTGGGTGCGGGTCCCGAGCTGGAGACGGGCTCTGAGAAACCAGGCCTGGGCCTCGCTCCGCACCCCTGCGCCTGCGGAGCCACTGCCTCCCCCCTTCCCCCATCCCCCCTCCTACCCAGGGCTCGGGCCTGCCAGCCGCCGAGGGCGGGAGGCTCACCTGGAGCGACCAGGACGCGGCCAAAAGTAGCCTCTTACCCGCCGGCCCCTCCTCCCACGTACAACACGACTCCTTGGAGTCCCGACTCCCGCCCCTCTAAAGGCCAGCGACTGCCTAGCCTCAAAGCACCCCCATAACCTGCGCCCCCCGTTCCGCCTTTGAACCCAGGAACCAAGAGGCCCGAAACCACTGGTTACTGCCCGAAAGGGACCTGCGGAGCCGCGGCCTGGAGACGGAGCTCTGCCGCCGGCCGCCCGCGGGGCCCGCTCCCCTCGCGCAGAGCCCAGGGAATCGCCCTAAACCACCTGGACTGCTCAGAACTGAGACAGACCCAGATGTGGAATCTCTGTCCTCATTCCAGAGGTTCGGGTGACCAGGGTCCCTGGCCCAGTCGCTCGTACAGGGCAGCTCGCCTAGGCCCAAGGCTGCGGGATAATGGATGTGCTTGGTGTCTGGGGCGCCCACGCTGTCCTGGGGTGTGTCCTCTTTCCTGGGACTGGTCTGGGGCCTGCCCGGGACAGTCGCTCCGGAACGCGGACAAGCTGTCTCGAGAGCTCAAGGAAATCGCCCGAATTGCTTTCACGGCAGCCCCAGGCCTGGCCTTCCCCAGACAGGACGAGAAAAGCCTGTCCGAGCTGCGCTCGCTTGCCTGAGAGGTGCCTTGGAGAAAGTTGACTTTTACAACGCATGGATCAGTCTCATTTTGTGAAATGGGATTGTTTCCAATGGCATTTTTTACGACTGTATTTTTGGGGCTTGTAAAACCCCCTTGAATTAGCTTTAAAATCCTCAATTCTGTGGAGATTGAAGAAACACTATTTATATGATTTGGTTGAATTCCCAGAGGGTGATTATAAGCTCTGTAAAACTCTGGCAAATGCAGAGAATGGGGTTCATACTTGGGGGTGGTGATGCCCCTTAGGAATCTGGGAACGATTTTCTTAATCTCTTCCTTGCTTTTTAATTTTTTTCCTCCCTGCCCTTACTTCCCCCAAAGGGAAAAAATTGGGGGGAAAAATACTAGGCCTAGGTTATTTAGGTGCACAGAGCCTAGCGTGCACCCCTGAAAGCGGCTGTTGCCCACCTCTGGGGGCTGTGCCCAGAAGCCTTCTGGCTGTGTGTGCCCCAGTCAGTCCAAGCTGGGAAAGTTTCTCCTTTGCATATATAAACAGGGCCTGGCAGGACAGGATAGAAATTTACATTTCCCTTGCATTTCTTCAGGGAAAGGATTAGATAGACGAAAATAAAAACTCAAGAGTCAAGAATTTTTAAGGGAATTCTTTTTTAAAGCTATTTTCCAAGAAAATCATGTTTGAATTATTGTTTCTTAAATAAGACCACCAGAGGACAGTGATTTCAAGCAAGATATTATGTAAAATTAAAAAAACACCATTTGAAGATGTTGATAAATGATTATGTTTATAATTCTGCTTCATTCCTCCAGGTTCCACACATTGGAGCTGGTGGCAGTTTACTACTCTTATTATTTGTTATGGTTTGACCTGGATTCTCAATCTAATAATGCTCCCAGCCAACAAGAGAATTTGATTTCTCAGCTAAGAGCCAAAAAAACAAAACAAAACAACATTATATTTCTAGTTTCTATAGGCACTAAGATGAACAAATATATTAAATTAAAATCTCCACACGTTAGCCAAGGCTTGTACATATCATGTTGGCAGCTGCCCAAATCTATTTCTCCAACCAGTGACTATATATATATATATATAGAGAGAGAGAGAGAGAGAGAGAGAGACTCAGGCAAGAATAGGAGCCCCGGATGGTGAAGGGAGCCTTTACTGGGATGATGAGAATGGCCATCAGGGCTCTCTTCTCGGTCAAAGCCACACAGAAAGTCCACTTACCTTTCAGCTGCTCTTCAAGGGGGACGGGATGGCGAGCAGGGCCCCACAATCCGCCCTTTCCCTGGGCTGCCCACTGAGCTCCTTGACCTCGGCCAGCCTGGAGGACGGTCTGGCCTGCCGGTGTGGGGGGACCTTGAAGGCCACCTCCTCCACCCTGATCTCTAGCCCAGGCTAGAGCCCACAGCACACAGGTGCGGCCTGTGCTTGTCAGGGGCTCTCGCCTGGACCCAAAGCCCGCCTTCCATGCCATAGCCAGTCCTCCTCGGGGTCAGCCGGGCCCGCAGGCCTCAGGCTACCAGTGGTCTCTGTGATTTCAGAATCCCAAAGCGCTGAGATCCCCAAACGAGCGTGAGCCCCCAGGGCGCCTTAGGACGCGCAGTTTGGACAGAAGCAGCCATGACGTGCCAGGCGGCCTGTGCAACCAGTCTCCATGGTGCTGGGGGGAGGGGGACCCGAGTCTAGTCGGGCGTCCAGCTCCTGTCAGGTGGCCAAGACGGGGGAGGTTCCCGGCCAGTCAGGCCCTGGGAGACCGCCCCTTAAGTCCTCCCTCGCCCCCCTCTCCACGGCCTGCTTGGGAATCTCTGAGGGGCCCGAGCAGTCCTCGCGCCAGGCTGCACGACGCGGGGCTGCGGCTGCGTCGGTCCCGGCGACGGCCACAGCGTGGCAGCAGCGAGCCGCCCGGGCTCGGGCGCAATAAATAATGGGCCCGCGGCAGCCGCAGTCAGGCCGCCCGCGGCCCTGCGATGCAAATGCGCCGCTTTATCCTCCCCGAGTGCACCCTGAGTGCACCCGCAGTGCCCGCGGGCGCCCCGGGCCTCCACGGCCCCTTCTCCATTATCTAACGCACATCAAGGTAGTCTCTTCAGATGGGAAAACATCAACAGCCTAAACCAAACACAAAAAGAACTCGAGCCCAGAGCCTCAGGGCGGTTTCTGGTTGCTGTCCCAGGAAGCTCTCGGGGCAAATCCGACCACAAGGCACCCAGACCCAACCGTGACCGGGTCTGTGCCACCGCACGACGTACAGCTAACCCCGCGGCTCCCTCCGCGCCTCCACCCGGGAGGCTCCACAGTCCCCTCCCCGCTTCCCGAAGGTGGGCCGGTGGTCGCCGGCTCCGCGGCGCCGAGGTCGGTGGGTGGGGGTCCCCCTATCGCCCAGACTCGGTTTGCGTCCTCCTTTCAACCTTCGCTGCGGCCCCTGCCCCTCGCAATAACATCACTCCACCGAAACTTCCCGCCAAGCAGCACCCAGACATTAACCCCATCTTCTCCTCCAACACAGAGTCCCACCCGCGCACCTTTCCCTCTCCCTGCGCTCCTGACACCTCTCTCCTCGGAAAACCGCGTGGAGGGAAGCAGTCGCTCAGCAGAGGACTCTGGCCGGATTAGTAAGTTGTTTGCTTATTCCCCACCCCCCTCATTCCATCTTTCTCTCCACAAACCAAATCCCAGGGAATAGAAGGCGCTGTGCTGATCTAAAACGCCAGTCGATAAGGGCACTTGGCCCTCGTCTCGTCCCACCTTTCCAGGTCGGGAACTGTCCCCAATCGTTGGGGATCAACTGAACCAATTGGGTCATGAATGAAAAAAGAAAAAAAAATCCAAACCCGAGAGGCGGGGGGGGGGGGGGGGGGGGAGCGCAGGGTGCAGGGCCACCTCCTCTGGGGCTAGGCCAGGTCGTCGCTGGGCAGGGGAGAGAGCTGGGCTTGTGCGCCCGTGCCAGGGCGCGGTGCCACTGGCGAAAGGCGGGCATCCGCTGCCACCGGGAGCCAGGAGAGGAGGGAGTGCGAGCGTGTGTGTGTGTGTGTGTGTGTGTGTGTGTGTGTGTGTGTGTGAGGGGACGGATGTGAACCGGTGAGGGTGGGTGACGGGTAGTATGCCCCTCTCCAAAGCCACCCTGGGTGCCCTCACCCAGGCCGCCTGCGCTGGGTGCCATCTCACCACCTTTGCTCCTGTCTCCCCACATGTCTCACCTTCAGATGGCGGCTCCCAGAAGCTCCTGCCCCTCTGACAGCTGTCGCTGGGGCAGCCCGGGGAGACGAATCGTCCTCTTTCCTGGAGCCAGAGGACGCAGGAAATTAGCCAGGTTGCGAGTTGCAAAGAGGCCGCCGCGGCGCCGGGAGCAGGGCGCACCCCACCTCCAGCGGGAACGGCCGGGCCCGGCCAGCCCGGGGCCTCGCCTCGCTCGCCATCGCCGGACAAAGCGCAGCCGAGCCGGCTGGAAGGCAGAGCTCCGAAGCAGGCAGGACGGAGCGGAGCACAAGAATGCGGCTCTATTCTCGCAAGGGAAATTATAAAAAAGTTCATGTTCACGGTTCCCATCCACATGACCGACAACGGCCAATGGAAGGGCCGAACAACTCATAAAGTTGTATTGCAAAGTTGTAAATTTTCATAAACAACAACGGATTTATGACCCTTTCCCCATCTCTAAGAGGAGGCAGCTCTTACACCGGCGCCATCTTACCACCGAAGCCGCCCCGACTTGGGGCCGCAGGTTTTACAGACGCAGTTGAGCCAGGTTTTATTCAAAGAGCAATAAGAAGGGGGGCCCAGCCCAGGCAGGAGCCTGGAGTCGAGGTCCTCGCCCACCCCACAGCTCACGCTGTTCTCTGCGGTCCCCACCGCCCCTCGCCCCTTCCCCAGCCCCTCAGCCTTCCCCGCACCCAGGCGCCCCCGCCCAGGCTAGCAGTGGGGTCTGCGGGCCCTGCCCCTGCCCCTTCTCAGCCGCACTGCTGGGCTCCGAGCAACCCTCGCTTAGCCTGAATGCGGGGTGGGGACCGCGTCAGAGGCCCTGAATTTCACCTCCTAGCCTGGCGCCAGGTTCAGGGCTCATGGAAAATTCTCGGGATCAGTCGCAGGGTGATACCCCTTTGCAAGCCCACCCCGCAGCCTTAGAGGAAAGAGCAGATTTTGGATTTTGGATTCGCTCTTGGAATTTATGGAGGTTTTTAGGAAGGTTCATAGAATAGAATGTACCTATCGAAGATTCCGTTTTCAGAGTATCTGGAAGATGTTTGTGGGCATACACACAAACCAGAAAAAAGTCTTCACCCAGAGAAATTCACATATACAACTGCGGACACACAGAAATGCATACACTCAGTTATGGACACGGAAATACACGCAATTATTTACACACAGAATCACGTTCACTCAATTACAGACACAGAAATACATATAATTGTGGACATAAAAATACACACACACATACACAGAAATAGATATACAAAAAGAGCTACACACATACCTATGCAAACCCAGACAAAAAGGAACTCAACACGCATACACACCAATTCACAGACGCCCAACACTTGGACCCTATTTGTCCTTCCACTTTTGCTTCCCTAAAGCCCCTTTGGACGCGCACAGAGCCAGGGCGTGCTCTCTGGCCATAATGACCCTCTTCCCCAGCCTCCCTCCCCAGATAAAACAGTCCACATTTCTTTGTCATCAAGCATCTTTATTTTTCTGTTACATAAAACACGGTTAGCTGGGCAAGACGGAAAGCATACCTTCCTGTTCCTGGAACCCGAGGCTAGAGCTGAGAGGGACGAGGGGGACGCAGGACAACACGGAGATGAAGGGCACTGGGGAGGGCATTGGCTCTCTCCACCTGCTACAGAATTAGCTCAAGACAACACACCATGCTACATGGTCACCCCATTAACGCATCCTTCCCATGTCACAACATTGCCTTACAAATGAGCTCCAAGACCATATAAATGACAAAAAAAATCTTATTCAAATATACAATATTTGCTATTGTAGGAAAAGTCAGGGTGTACATATTCAACACGGCTGGGCAGTGGGACACAGGGGCGGGGAGGCGGGGAGCATCTCTGCAGTCCTACTAAGCAGCAGCTAACTCAGAAACCTGCAGCTAGCTTGGGAATGCTCCCCTCCAGAAGTGGGGGGTGACAGTCCTGAACTTGGAATATCCAGGCCAGAAAAGAGGGATACTAGGTTGCAGCACTTAGAATGCTTTGGAATAAATATATTATTTTTCAATTTAAATAGAAGCCAATGCCCTGGTCCCTGAACCCCAGCACCTTCTCAGCATAGCCTCAGGGACCCCAAAGGCTGCCAGCCACAAGCAGCAGGGGCCTGGCCTGGGAGGGGCCGGCACTAGGTAGCAGGCGAGCCAGCGAGCACAAAATAGGTAGTTTGGGACAAGTAGGTAGTATTGAGAGTCAGGTCCTTGGCCTATAGGGAGGTGCCGGGTGTCTGCCAGTGTTGGGACACTCTGGGCTTCCTGGGAGTGGAGGTCCGCTGGGCTGGGCCCATAGGTAGTTTGGGGTGCCTCTCTCTGAGGCCTGTGCTAGGTAGTATTTTAGCCATGCCAGCGCAGAGCCAGCCGGCCTAGGGATGGGGGGAAGTGTCTGCTGGGGGGCCTCGGAGGCAGAGGGGACCCCCAAGGGGACCCAGTCTAGGCGGCTGCTGTCCAAAAAAGTTGGGAATTGAAGTGGATAATGGGGTAGATGGGGTACAGGTTGGGGACTGGGTTGTTTTTTTTTTTTTTTACATTTTCTTTTTATTTTTCAACTTTTGTAAATAAAATCAAAGAGTCTCTAAAGACGCTTTCCGGACTGTCTGGTGCAGCCCAGGCCCCTGCTCGGCCCCTCATTCCTCCTCCTCTTCATCCTCTTCTTCCTCCTCATCCTCGTCCTCCGCCTTGTCTGCTGCAGTGGCGGTGGCTGCTGCTTCGGGCACGGGCCCCTCGGGGGCTGCAGCAGCCGCCGGACCTTCGTCCTTATGCTCTTTCTTCCACTTCATGCGGCGGTTCTGGAACCAGATCTTGATCTGGCGCTCAGTGAGGCAGAGCGCGTGGGCGATCTCGATGCGGCGGCGCCGGGTCAGGTAGCGGTTGAAGTGGAACTCCTTCTCCAGCTCCAGCGTCTGGTAGCGCGTGTAGGTCTGGCGGCCCCGCTTCCTATCAGGCCCTGCAAGCAGACGTGTGGACACACGGACACACAGACAGACAAGCGGATGGGACCATAGTCAGGACAGTGCCTTCATCAGGCCACTGACACAGAGCTCGGCCCTTCCTCCGGCTGGACCCAGGGCGCGCTCCCCTCTGCCTGCGCCCCGCTCTGAGCTGGGGGAGGAGCGAGACCGAGAGGGGAAGACCCCAACGGCCGCGCCAGACGCACAGGCAGCTCCCTGAAGAGGGAAGGCGCAGAATCCCCAATTTACAACCGCGCTTTCCAGCCGGCTAAGCTTCCACAATGTCCTGCTTCCCCCTGACAAAGGGAAATTGTAAATATAGAGTGTGGGCGAGTGGGAGACGCCCCGCTTTGGCCATTCAAAGACCAGTGGGGCCGCTTCCCTGACTGGCTAGGCCAGTAGGCGACCCTAGGCAGCCCACACTCCAGGGGCCCCCTTCGTCCCTAGCAGCCCGCGCCCACATCCCGGGACCTCCCTAGGTCACTCCAACCCTCTGTCCCCGCTCCAGCCCTCCAGCCCAGCCTTTAGATGGCCCCTGGCACGGGGGCTTGCGAGGGGCCCTGAAGGGTTCGGCTCTCACAGGTTTTGAGAAAGAAAAACCAGGCTGAAAGGAAAAGGAGGAGGGAGGGAGAGAAGGGCAAGGGAGGGAGAAAGAGAATTGCGAGCAAACAAACTGAACGTTAAAATTCCAAGGCAAATGGAGTTAAATAAATTTACGAGGATTGAACCCATTAATTGGGCCATAAAAAGTTTTATGAGCCTCATTTACATACAATGCTACGGGTTCTCCACGCTATGGCGCCTCGACTCTAATTAGAACCAGAGAGGCAGCGCCGCCAGAAGTCAGGGGGCCTCCCGCCCGCCCGCTCGCAGCCGCCAGGCTCCCAGCCCCGCTCGCTCCAGCCCCGCTCTCCCGGCTCCCAGCCGCCCGGCCGCCCGGCCGCCCGCCCAGCGGCTGCGCCTACCTGAAGACCGCATCCAAGGGTAGATGCGGAGATTGGCCTCGGCCGGACCGTGCAGCGCGCCCTCATCCACCTTGTCGCAGGCGCCTTTGGCGAGGTCGCTGCAGAGCCCGGGGATGTTTTGGTCGTAGGAGGCGCAGGGCAGGTTGCCGTAGGCGTCGGCGCCCAGGCCGTAGCCGGACGCGAAGGGGCTCTGGTACAGGGGGCTGTTGACATTGTACAAGCCCGGCACGGTGGACGCGAAGGCGCCGGCGCCCGCCCCGTAGCCGCTTCGCTGCGAGTTGGGCGCAAAGGAGCAAGAAGTAGGCTCGGCATTTTGGAACAGAGAAGCCCCCGCCGTATATTTGCTAAAAAGCGCGTTCACATAATACGAAGAACTCATAATTTTGACCTGTGATTTGTTGTCCGGCAGCTTTCAGTGTCGGTTTTACGAGGTAGCGTGATATATGATAACATTACACCCCCAGATTTACACCAAACCCCATTTTCTTTTGGACGGAGCTCGCCGCAGCACGTGACCGCCCACATGACCGCCTCCGCCAATCTCCGCAGCCCTCACAGGTGGTCTTGCTCCGCGGGGCCCGCGGCCGCCTAGAATGGAAGGGGAAAGGGCTCCAACGAGTAGCCCACGCCTGTGCCCGCGCGTGGCCGGCCGGGCGCGTCCTGCGGAGAAAGGACCCCCGGCTCCGCGGGGCCCTTCTGACCGCCGCCAACCTGGACGCCTGGCCTGCAGAGGCTGCGCGGGGCCGACAGGGCGCGACCGAACCCTGGACCAAGCCTGCGGGTCCTCTCTACCCACTGACCCCGCCCAGGGAGGGACTCTGCACCCCGCGCACCCCAAAGTGGCCCCTTGGGCAAGTCTCTGCGCTGGGTGAACCGGCTCTTTGCCCGCGTCTCCTCCCGCCCAGGTCCCGCGGGCAACGGGCTGACTTTGAAATCGGATTCAGACGGGGCCAGCGCAGCGTCGTTTCCAACGGCAGCGAGAAGGCCACTGCAGACTGGAACCATGTGGTTCGAATAAAGTCAAGGTCTCCGGGCTTCCTTTCCTTAATCAGGGCGCACTGTTTATCTGCCCTAAAGGAAGCGTGAAGTATTTACCTGTTAATGAGCCTCATTCGCCAACAGATTTACTAACGTGGGATTCCCTTCCCTCCTCCTGGACACTGCTGGCCCCTCGGGCTCTGTGCTTTCGCTTTGGGCACCTGCCTGGCCTCTGGCAGCCCCCAAAACGGATGGGCATTCTTTTGTCCCCCCCACACACACACACACCCAGCAACCCTGGATTCTCACTGGCTGCACCAAGTCTCCCCCAGCTTGGAGGAGCCCCAGGCCCTGCAGCTTTCGGGTACCACTTGTATCCTGAGGTTTCTGGGAGCCTTCCCTGTGGCCACCCCTGCGCTTCTACCGCTCCTCACGGGCCTGAGTGCCTGGGAGCAATAGATGCTGTAGAGCAGTTTGGGGAGGAGAGAGGGAGGCCCAGGCACCTGGGGACTGCAGCCCACACTGGGTGTCCTTTTCTTTTGGAGACCCCCCTCCCTCCCGAAGGCCACCCAGCTCTAGCTGCTTCACCTTTCCCAAGATCAGTTCACCAAGAGTGGAGAGCACAGTAGTCACACTCCCTCCCATCCAGGCCCCCTATGCATGGAGCTTACCTTCCCTAGCCTCCAACCCCTGCCCTGGGCAGGGTTGGAACAGCCAAAGTCCCTGCCGTTCACCGCTCCTTTGAGGGTGATGGGGCGAAGCCTTCCCCCTAAACGCCTCGTAAACTGCCCAGGCCGAGCTGGGAGCCTGGCCGGCAGGTCAGGACGCCTTTTACTGCTCAGCTCTATTGCACACCATAAACCCGACCTCACAATGGAATTGCCCCGGAAATTCTCCTCTAGATTATAGAGTTTGGTTCTTTTTGCACAAAGCGCTTCCCATCACTTTCTGAGGGTCCAGGCCGCCCCGGTTCACCACACCCTCTCAGGGGGTCCTGGGAGCACAAAAGGCAGCGGAGGGCTCAGACCCTGATGCGAAGGAGCCCCAGCTCTGGCCTAGTGGATGACCTGGTGCTGGTGGGGAGGTGGGGGCTGTAGGTGCAGGTGGGGTCAGGGTGGTGTTCCCTGGAGGTACAGGGACCATGGGGGCGATATCCGGGGTACCCTCCATGGCAGAATAGGATGCTAGCTGTCTTGCTTGGGGAAAGGAGGGGATACGTCAGGAAGGGAAGAAAACACAAATATTCCAAATAGCATCCATTTCTGGCAGGAAATAAAACCTCAGAAAGTTCAAGGAAGATGAAACAAACAAGAAGGGGACTAGGAGATCAAAGAGGAGGAATTAGACTGCTTTCGACCAATAAATTGTTCCTCGAGTGACACAGCAAGATGCAAGGAGAAAGACCCCGGCCACAGAAGGCTGTCTGTCTAGACTCGCGTGGCTAAAGCAGCAATGGCATTTCAAGTAGAACCTGCCTAGAGGGAGCTGACCCAACAGAGAGAGTGGGGAGCGATTTCGGGGAGTGCAGGCAGGAACGCAGTCCTGGCCAAGAGCTCTGAAAGTCCCCACCACAGGCTCTTCTCTGCCTGCGTTTGTCTCGGTCTCGGGCAAGTCCAAACAGTCCTGGCAGGACACGCTGCCTTTCTGCCTGGGCCAGGCAGGATCCAGATACTTTCCCGCACGATCCGGCCTCTCTGGACCCATGTCAGCCAACGGGGCCAAGTCCCGCGGGTGCTGCAACCTCCCTTTCGTTTCTGGCTTCTCCCTCCCCTCCGGCCTCCAGTGGCAGCCTTTTAAAACGAAAAGGCCAGGCAGAGCCGGGCTGGCCAGAAGGCCTGTGTGCCCGCGTGTTCTTGAGCCATTGGTTTCCTACATATTTGGCTGAAAAGACACCATTGCCCTGGGTTATTCGTGATCATAGTCACAGAAATACTCCCTGACGCGGCCGAAACAGGCACGTGTAGACGGGGTTCTCCTTGCCCCCTGTCCTTAGATAAAGACGCGGGCCTCAGCCGCCTTGGCGCTGGGTCCCTGTGTGCCAAGCAATCTGTGTTTCCCCGACTTTTTGTTATCGGATTGTCCTCAACATTTAAATCCAGCCAAGAATGTAAACCCAGCTTTCGGGCAGCGAGTGGAGCCTGCCAGAACTCTGCGGCTTCTCTAAAGAAACTGCGGCTGCGGTTCCTATCCGCGCCCCACGAGCGACCCGGGCATCAGCTCTCCGTCCAGTAAGCAGCCCCCAGTCATGGCAGGGGGACAGGTCCATCCCCGAGGAGTGCCCAGGAGCTGGGGCTGCCAGGGGATCTCATCCAGGCGGCTTCTGGGGAAGCGGGTCCTGGGCAGGGCAGCCGAGCTGGGAGAGCCACTTCCCAGCCACAGGCAGGCCAAGGGCAAGAGAGGTTCCTTCCGCCTGGCAATGCAGGAGGCCTCTGAGATGCCCCGGCCTGCACCTACCTGGGCTCCGGGACCTGGGGAGAGAAGCAGTGGCCACCGACCTGCTCCTTTGCCATTTATCTGTAGCGACATAAACCGACCTTTCCATCTGCTGTGGGATGCCGGGCCCCGGACAGCGCTTGGGAAGTTATAAAACCCTTCTCGCCATCAGCTGCTGTGAGACACCAGGTTATATAATGAAATGTAATGAAGGCGTGTGTCTGTAATGCCAACGTGTGTATATAGACAGAGAAAGGGAAGGAGAGAGAGCACACGCGGGAGAGGGAGGAACACCCCCGAGAGATGTCAGCCAAAATCCAGTCCCCCGTTTTATAGCGTGTACAGCCGGCGATGCAGGCTGTAAACATTTTGTGGGCTTGGCAGAGACTCTTACAATCCAAATAAACGCGCGGTGCCGTGTTCACAGGCTGGGGGTGCTTCTTCGGAGAGTCCTGTTTGCTTTTGCGTTTTCTCTGGGAAACTATGTTGCACCCGGGGCTGCTTCTCAGCTCTCGGGGTGCCTCCTGGGAGGCTCCGGACGGACGGGCAGGTTCTCCCCGAGGGTGGGGGGCGGGATGGGCCTGATGGGGTCCCCTCCCTCCTCCTGGCTCCTGAGCAGAGGATGCCAGAGCAGCCTCAGTATCTCCACTGTCCAGGAAATTCAGCGGCGAGAGAAAGCAGGAGCGGCTTTCGCGATGTGAGCGCCTATTCTGGAGCTAGGGTGTTATTTTAATTCTTTTAAACATCACCTTTATTTTAGAATAACCAAAGCAGTGCCTGGTCTGTCCCCAAGGATGCCCATTTCTAGGCAACTCGGCCGCCCGACCTACACTAAACAGACCAAGAATGTCTACCCCCCATTTCCAGCCGCTTAATTTTTATTGTCACATATTCAAGGCAGCCGAGTCCCCGGGTTCTGGCTCACCCGTGGGTGCTGACTCCTCCGGGGCTTTTGCCAGGGCGCAGCCTCTGGGGGTCCCCGGGCTCCAGGACCTTTGGCCCGGTTGCGCCCTCTGCACACCCTCTGGGGGGGTCACCAGGTCCAGGGGGGGCTGTAGGCCGTTAGTCCCGGTGTCTGTCCGCCAGTCAGCTGGGTTCTCCGAGCGCGCGCTGCACCCAGGCGTGTCCGGGGCTGGAGACCGTGACCCCAGCCGGGTCCGCGCGCCGGGAGCTGCAGTCCTGCCGGGCTGGGCCCCCGCGGTGGAGGGGGCCAGAGGGGGCCGGTCCGCGAGCCCCCGCCGCGCCGCTCGCTCGTTTCCCAGTGAGGCATCCTCCCTAGTGGGAGCAGGACGGGAAAGTACACCGCTGCTGTGCACTCAGATCTGGGGCTCAGGTTCCAGAAAGGCTCGCGTCAAGTCGACATCTTAGGAACTTTCCAGGGTGGCGGCGGCGGGAGATGGCGGCGTGGGCGCCTCTTGCGTGGAGTCACACTGCCATCTGCTGGCCGGCTCGCAGCACTGCAGCCCTCGCCGCCGCGCCCGAACTTCGTCGGCACCGCCGCGGGCCCGGCGCCCCACTCCCGGAGCCCGCGAGGCCGGGTCCCGGGGGAAGGGGGGGTCGAGGGGTCTGCGTGGGTCCGGAATCTGCGCTGCCGAGAGGGCAGTGCCCATAAAAGAGGGCTGTTTCCGCAACCGCTTTATCGGCGGCAGACAGAGCAAACAAATGAAAGGGCTTTGGTGGAAAATCTTAATTGGGGCTGGACAGTTGTAAACTCATTAAGGGCCGAATTCCAGACGGTTCGCAGACCCGGCCTTTATGGCGCACCCTGCGTGCCCATTCTTTGAAGTCCCTTCTGTCTGCAACAACACAGGGCGTCCAACCTGGCGGCGGGGTGGGGGTGGGGTGGGGGGGTGAGGGGCGCCCCATCCCCGGCGCGGCGCCCTGGTTCCCCTTTTACGTGTCCGAATCCAGATACCTTTGCAGAAGTCGCGGGGGATGAGGCGGGGGGGGGGGGGGGGGTGCCGGGAGCAAGAAAAGAAAAGGGGGAGATGAGGCCGAACCCTCCGGTCACATCTAGAAGGCGCTCGGGCTCCGAGGCTGTGCCGTTCCCCCGCAGCCCTTTACACCCCATAAACAGTAACAGCCCTCATTTTCTTTTATGGCGCTCCGGCTCCTCGCTTGCCTGGGCCCTGCCTCTGCCAGGACTTGTGCTCGGGGAGGGGCGCGCGGATCAGGGCCCAGCACCCCCGGGCCTCCTGCCCTACAGGAGGTGGGGGTGCAGGGGCGCAGGCCTTCGTCTCCCGAGAGCTTGCGAGCTTCCAAACATCTGTTCCCGAAGCCACGTTGTTGGGGCGATCGGGCTCCCGTTTCCCTCTTTAGAAAGCAGGCCCTCAGCTCGTGGTCCCGCTGCCCCCCCCCCCCCCACACACACACACCACCACCAGGGAAGGCCCAGCAGTCTCCGTTTGGGCAATTCTTGGGGCGCCAAGATGGAAGAGTGGTGCTGGCCAGCGATACCCCAGATGCCAGCCCAGTTCCTCAGAGACCTCCTGGCCTTCTGGCAAATGGACACAAAGTGGGGGACCCGGGCCTCGCCGCCCCGTGTTCCCGGCTTTCCCCCGCCTTCCTCCTTTACTCCGCTGTTGGGGCTGCTGAGCAGCCGGCCTGTGTGAGCCCTCAGGCCAGCCCGTGGCTCTGCCGTAGGTTCCAGCTCCCCAAAGCCCCGCAGAGCAAAATGGAGGTTCTGTCCTCTTCCACCCCACAGGGCCCCACCCAGAGACTATCAAGGCCCCCCTGCCCCAGGAGAAGATGCAAAGAGCTGACCCGCAAAAATAAAATAAAATAATCAATATATTTTATTTGGCAAAAAGTTAAATATCTCAACACAACAATTTGGTCAGTAGGCCTCGAGGTAACTATTGCAAAATATACAGTGTATGTTCAGCCCCCAATGGAAACCCCAGATTCGTCAAGAATACAAATCTACCGTAGCCCACTGGCAGTTTCACAATGCATAATTTATTATCAATAAAATTAGCTCCATTACAGTATCACTTTCCCCCAGTTAAAATTAAACATAAACCATAGGTAGTCACCTTCTGCACATACGTATAGCTCCGAATTTCCTCCCTGTTTGTCTGGTGCAAACACAGTATTCAAGCTGGTCTGATTGCTTTTTCTTTCATATGTGGATTATATACACTAGACCAGACAGGTCTATAGAGCATGTAGAAACTAAAATGCCTGGATTTCAAAAGTGGAGAAAACCATGAATCTATGCATCCCAGAGAACCCTTTCTTTAAAAAAAAAAAATTATTTCACTGAGAAATCCTTACAGCTAATTTACAATCAAAGGCTAACAGCCTAGTTATACAGAAGACATATTCCACTACAGAGCTATACTCTATGCAATTGTCTCCCCCTCATAAACAACCTGAGTTCAAATTGAATTCTATCTTTCACAATCACAACGGGTGTGTCACCCAGCACAGAAGTTTGAGTCACAAAAACATAATTACCACAATAAAACACAGTGTTCAAGTATCGGGCAGATCGCTCTGCCGAACAAAGAGCAAATTAAATTAACTACACAGACTAAAATCTATACAGCCCGCAGTCAACAGTTGTGCATTATAAAAAGGTAGTTGGGTTTTTTTGTTTGTTTGTTTGTTTTAAGTCAGGAACAGGTAGATTTTATAAAATATATACAAGGTAGCGTACACACAGCCATCAGCGCTAATGCCCCCTTCTATTTATTTATTTATTTATTTATTTATTTATTTATTTATTTATTTGTCTTAACAGAAAATGGAAAGCTTACAATACCTCCTCCATGAAAGCGGCAGGCCAAGGAGCCAGCCTGAGAAAGGTTTGCCGGGGGGAGAGATGAGGCCTGGAGTTTGGCCGCTTTGTGCGGGGGTGCTGGAGGCTTGGGTGGTATGGGGGTGGGAGAAGGGGACAGGCAGTCCTTTCTCTTGCCCTCTCATTCCATCTGCTTTCCGAAATGAACTCAAGTAGCATCACTCGTCTTTTGCTCGGTCCTTGTTGATTTTCTTCATTTTCATCCTGCGGTTCTGGAACCAGATCTTGACCTGCCTTTCAGTCAAGTTGAGCAGTCGGGCCACCTCGTACCTGCGGTCCCTGGTGAGGTACATGTTGAACAGAAACTCTTTCTCCAGTTCCAGCGTTTGATGTTTAGTATAGGGGCAGCGCTTCTTCCGCGTGGAGCGAGCGTGAAGCCAGTTGGCAGCCGGGTTGCCTGCGGGGGTTGTGGGGGGAGAGAAATGGGATTTAGAAGGAGAAGCACACACCCCCCACCACCACCACCTGGGCTGGGGGCTGGAGGATCTCCTGGGGCCTCCGGCCACCGTGCAGGATGCTGCTGAATTGGTTAGGGAAGGCGGCAGAGCCTGGGACACAATGGACCCCTGGCAGACAGAAGCGGGACGGTCACTTACAATTGCGCGCAGTAAAATCTCCGCTCCCCTCCCCTCGGAGGCCCTCCTTTCTCCTCCTCGGTGCTCTTGTTCTTTCCTCTCCCCACCCACTTTCAGAACATTGTGTGATGAGTGAAATTGGAAAACGGATCTTCTTCTTGCCAGGCAGGGGGAGACCATGCTGCCCTGTATTCGCGTGGCAAGATTAATATTCTCTGCTCCCCCGCAATAACGCTGCGTCCTCCCTTCCCCACCTTTCCTTCTGCTCTCCCCACTCCTTGTTTGACCCTGGGAGGCCGTGGGAGCGCGCAGGCCTATATTTGGCCCCTAGGAGCCCCAAGGCGGTTGATCACTTCTCCAGTTTATTAGAATAATCTGGCCTGGGGGCCCTCATGGCCCGGTAGCTTGCAGCCTCATCTTGGGCAGGATTTACACCGCCACCGGCTGACGACAAGTGGAGGGAATCGGCCGTCTTCCCCAGCGTCCGGGCGCAGGCAGGCAGCCACCGCTCGGGGATAATTTAGTCACAAAAGACTCTGTGACGGACGCTGCTTTCGAAGAACGGCCCAAAGGATCTCGGTCCTGGTCCGGGGCAGCAGCGAGAGGGTGGCCGGTCTTGGCGCTGCCCGCAGCACCGCCCCGCCCCCTCTCTCGGTAGCAGCCACCTCCTCCCCCCAGCCCAGCGGGCCGCTTGTCAAGGCGCTGTGCTGTGGACTTGGGGCCTCCGTCCGAGGAGTCCCAAACAGCAACTTCTGGCTCCGGGCCTCTGCTCGGGAGGCTCCCAGGCGTGCAAAGGCGGGCTCCAGAGAAAGCTGGCGGGCTGGCAGATCCGGGTGGCCAGCGTGGAGGCGGCAGCCAGTTTGGAGGGAGGAGACACTTACTGGGATCGATGGGGGGCTTGTCTCCGCTGCTCTCATTCTCAGCATTGTTTTCGGAGAAGGCGCCTTCGCTGGGCTGTTTTTCTCTATCAACTGGAGGAGAACCACAAGCATAGTCAGTCAGGGACAAAGTGTGAGTGTCAAGCGTGGGACAGTCACCCCTTCTGGCCGACAGCGGTTCAGGTTTAATGCCGTAAGGCCGGCTGGAGGGCAAGCCCGCGAAGGAGAGCGCACCAGGCGTGGGCTCCAGCCAGGAGCGCATGTACCTGCCATCCGGCGCCGCCGCCGCCACGGGCGCCTGGGGGTGCACATAGGGGTGGTGGTGATGGTGGTGATAGACCGCGGGCACCGTGTTGGCGCCCGCGGCGTGCACCGGGTTCCAGGAGGCGCCGAACACCGCCGCCTTGGACTGGAAGCTGCATGGGCTGAAGTCGGGGTGCTCGGCCAGTGCCGCCGCCTGCCGGGCGGGCTGACCCAGGGCCCCCGAAGCATAGCGTCCGGCGCCCAGCTCGTCCGAGGCGTCGGCGCCCAGCAGGAAGGAGTCCACATAGTAGTTGCCCAGGGCCCCCGTGGTGGCCATCGCCGCACCCCGCGCCCTGCCGGCCGGCCTGACCCGTGGAAATTATGAAACTGCAGATTTCATGTAACAACTTGGTGGCACCGGGGAGGGAAGTACAGTCACCTAATAAGTTGCCGGCGCCCGCGCCCCCATTGGCCACGCGCGTCACGTGGCCGCCCAGCAGAACAATAACGCGTAAATCACTCCGCACGCTATTAATGGCCCGGTGTTTTGCAGTCATAATTTTTATAGCAAAAGCCATATGTTTTTATGCAAAGAGATCGCAGCGCTCAACGATCGGGTTTGTTTTAATTGTGGCCAACGAAGATTAAAAGATCAAATCTGGCCTTGCGTCTGGACTCCCTCCCCTTCGCGCCGCCACCACCAGACACACACTTCTTCAGCGGACTATTTTATATCACAATTAATCACGCCATCAGCCCGGCGCGGGCCCCGCGTGCGAGTGCGGCCGGCAGAGCCCCCCGACATAAAATTAGACAATAATTGAAGCCATAAAAAAGCAACCAAATCGCATTCTCGCTCTACTGTATTTAAATCTATATTTATATTTCATAAGGAGTTATTGTTTCAGAAGCCACACAGGCTGGTGGGAAGTTGGGAACGACCAACAGATTCGTTTACCTCGCCGTGGCTCCCAGTTGTAAAAATTTACGAGGACTTGGAAAGGTTAAATTAGACTGTTGTGTTTGGTTGGCGGGCTCCCTGTAAATAATCCCCCGCAGTCCCCGGAGATGCGAGTTTACCCGGGGTGGCTTCAGAAAGTCAAATTCAACGCAGTAGCCGTCCCAAACGGAGCCGCCGCGGGCCCTGCCGGGGCGCGCTGGCCAGGGACAGGCCGTCCGGAGGACACAGCCTGTGGAGGGCCCCTGGGGTCGGCCTGACCCGATCGCAGGGTGTCCAGGCAGCTCCCAATGTACCGCTGAGTCTCCAGCGAGCGTCAGACCAGGGAGCAGCCAGCCAGCGCTGAGCCCAGTGTTTGGGGGCCTGCTGGGGCCAGCGTTCCATGACCCCCCCTTCCCTTGGACACAGCTGGCGCCCCAGCCCCGTGCTCCGACCTCCGAGGCTCTAATGCTGAGTTCTGCTAGTCGCACTCCCCTAACCCGAGCTGCAAAAAAGCCCCCTACGAGGCAGCATAACAGGCGAATTTGGCCTAAGAGACCTGGCCGCTCAGTAGTCACGAGGCCCGCTCCGGAGAGGCTGGCCTCCGGGCCCAGTATGAATCCTTCAGGCCTCCCTCCTTCTGTCCTTCCTTCCTTCCTCCCTTCCTGGCCACTGCCCCTGGCGGGCCCGCCTGGCTAACCCACGCGGCCCGGCGGCTCAGCGGAGTTACAAGACCCAACGTGAGGCGGCCACAGCTCAAGGCCAGGGCCAGAAATTAAACCGGGGAGGGGCATGGGGCATTGACTTTAATCCCATCCCTCAGCTTGACCAGATTGAGGAGGGTGCTTCTCACCTCCCAAAGCCTTTCAGGGGTAAATTGGCCTCTTTGTTAATTGGAAGGAAGAAAAAACCCCACCAAATACAAGCGGAAAGCAGCGACTCCTAAAAAACGGGGTAATTAAATTCACGTGTGAACACTGTGCCTGCAAGAGTGTGTTTCTCATTAGCCCACTTCCCTGGCGGCGAGGGCGGGCGGGTGGACTGGGCTGCTTCCATCTCTTGTTTTTTTTTGCCTTCAATCTCCCCAACAGTCCCAGTAACCCCTCCCCAAACCCTGATACACCCCTATCCCTCAATGGGGACCTTCAAATGTCATGCTCTCCCCCCAGCTGAAAAGCCACAGGGAGACCAACCGGGTCCCTCTCCGGAAGAAGGAAGAGGGAAGTGACCAACACAATAAACTCCTACCACTGGCCAGGGGGTCCTGGCCACCTCAGTTCCCTCCCGCACTAATATTTGTCCTTCCCGTATAAAGTCCTCCGGGCTATTCCCATCCCCTCCACAGCCCAAGGTGTCCCAAATATCCCGCAGTTTGGGGAACCTCTGAGATTTTCATTAAGAAAATTAACCCGGAGGAAACCTTCACTCCTAATTGTAATTGTCTGCAAACGGGTTGCCTTTTCCACTTTTTTTGTACCCAGAGAAGACACGAATTATTTATAGTATTTTTTAAGTAGAAAGGCCGTCCTTTAAATAGCCTTAGCCCCCCAAAATTGGACAGCTACTAAGTAATTAGCAGGGCTTGAGTGTTAACTGATCCTCACTGGTGCCTAAAATGGGGGGGGGGGGGTGTTCCAAAACCAAAAATATCCCTCTTCAGCCCAGAGGTTTGAGGAGAGACCATTCAGGTTTTTATGTCTGCTTTCATTTTGGAAGTAAAAGGGGTTGTGTGTGCATAAAGAATAAATGGGAGTGGTTACAAACTGTCTCTTTTTGCCCAGAGTTCTAAAACCTTGGCCTCCAAAACAAATCCACTACTCGGGTCCTGAAAATGACAGAGGCGTTGAGGGTAACACCGTGTGGGCCTTTCAGATAACAGGACCCAGAACCGGGGCTAAGAAGTGAAAACAGTGCCGGGGCCCAAAGCTGAGCAGTGCTGCTGGATGGAAGCAGCCCGAAGGCCCCACGTGCGAGCGAGTGGGTGGGGGCTGGAGAGGGATGGAGGTTGTTTTTAGCTCCCGGTAAAAATGAGACTCCTCCGACTGGCTTCCAGCACAACTTGAATACGGACTCGACTTTGTATTCCAATGGCTCAGGAATTTAGAATTCCTTTCCCCTATTATTTGGAACACGGTTGCTAGAAGGGTCCCTTTCTCCAGCAGTCTTCTGCACAAGGATGCCATATCCAACATCCCCTGACTCTGAACCTGATAGAAGCTACTGGCAAGCAAGCAGCCAGTCTTTGCCCTGGCGAGGCCCCCTTATCGCGGTTAAAGCCGGAGCTGAGACCTGCAGGGCCCGAGAGCCCAGGAAGCTTCCGGAGAGTGCCCTCCAGGAGCCTGGCTGAGCCTGAGCCCAGGTCCCAGCCTCCGGCCTCCAGGGAAGCTGGCGAAGGCCTCCTTGCAAAAACCTCGGTAATGCTCCCCCAGCGGATCGCCCGGGCTGCTGTTGCTGACCGATGGAGTAGGAACGCAAGGCCGCCGCCATCCGGTCGTGATCATAACCGAGGCCGTGTCTGCGCTCAGATCCACAGCCCGCGACAGACGCCCCAGCGAACCCTTCCTTGTCAGAACACGATCTCTACTTGAGAGTACAGAGAGAGAGAGAAAAAATAAGACAGCCTCCACCCTGGCTCTTCCCAAGCCAGCCCTAGCTAGGTCCCTCCAGAAGGAAGAGCTGGAGAGAAGAGGAAATGGAGATAGGGAGGGAAATGGACAGAGAGATCAAAGAAAATAAACAGAATTGAAGAAAAGGGAAGGAAAGAAGGGATGAAGTAAAGAAAAGAGGGTAGAGAAGAAAGAGGAAAGAGGGAAGGAAAGAGTCCACAGCGGCTCCTGGGAGCGGAAAGCGGCTACAAGAGAGAAGGGTAAGTGACAAGGCCAGGATGCCAGCCCCCGTCTGCCTTGTCCGTTCTAGTTGGAGCGGAGTGTTCACTGGCAAAGGGATCTTTTCTTATTTCCTGCCCTGGATTGGGGCTGATGCTGCCCTGGCTTTGCAGGAGAATGGCGGGGTCCCTGGTCAGGCACGGGCCATGAGCCCGAGAAGCTCGGGATGGAAGTGTGCGCCCCTGACCTTGAATGGCCCCGGGCCCAGAATTCCTACCACGCCCCCGGCGTCCGCTAAGGCTCAGCTAACCTGACCGTACCTGCAGGGGCCAGGTGGAGATGCGGGTGAGGCCAGCAGCCTGCCAGAGCTCTGAGAAGGAAGCAGGGACGAGGTTCTTGCGCGGGGAAAGCCGAGGTTGCCACCACAGGCCTGGCACGACCAGAGCCTGGATGCCCCGCCCGGCCCGGCCTCCGCGCGCACAGGTACCTGGAGACGATTTCAACTGAAGTAATGAAGGCAGTGTCGTGCTGTCGAGAGAAAGGTGGATCCCAACAACAGGAAACTACCTAAATCACCGACCAGTTCTGGTGCTTGCCCGCCGCCGCCACCGCCGCCGCCGCCGCTGCAGCCGCCGCCGCCGCCGCCGCCGCAGCCAAGGGAGAACCCTGCGATCGCACCCGGCCCGGCCCCTCGCCAACCTGCGCCCGCCGCTGCCAGTGTCCGGGGCTGCCGCTAAGGCATTACGGAGGGAGAAGCCACCGGCCCCTGTAAGGTAAACCTTGGAGAGGGAGGGAAGTAAGTTAACAGCGAGAGAGGAAAATAGAAGGAGGGGAGAGAGCGAGAAGAGAGAGCGAGCAGTGTGCGCGCTGGTTCCCCAAATCTTGCAGCTCAGCAAGCGGGCGCCGAGCGGCGGCAGCCCTGGGAGACTCACAAGCGCCAGGGACAGCCCCGAGCCCGGCTCCCTGTCTGGTCTCGGCCTCCCGCGCTCGCTCCCCACCGCTCGCTCTCCCCCTCTCTCCCTCCCAGCCAGGCAGCCAGCCGGGGCGCGCGCTCCCGCGCCCCCTCCCCCCTGCCGTCGCCTCCCCCCACCTCCCGCGAGCAGGAAACGCGTGGCCCCGCGGAGGGCGACCAGGTGGGGGAGGCTGTGCTGGGGAGGGGGGGGGGGGTCCAGGCAGCCCGGCCGCGGTCTACCTAATCGCTGCCTCGGACGCTAGTGAGGCGCTGTGGGCCCAGCCTGCTCCCGGGATTCCTAGACTGGGGGTCATCTAGGACCAGGGGACCCACAAAATAACCAGCCTGTGCGAGCCTCCCTGGGGCTCCCGAAAGAAATCCTGTTTGGCTTCCTCTGTCTATGAAGCTCCTCTCTCAACTGAAACCACCGGTCCAAGACAGCCACAATCCAGATATACTAGCAAGTCATAAAACTGAACAAAAGCCGACAAACCTTACGGCACCAGGGCTATAGGGCCCAGACAAATTACGACTGTCTAGGTAATATTTAAATAGATGCCTAAAGTAATTGCAGGGGGCGCGGGCTAGTCCTCCTGTTGTAAAAGTGGTGGACGGGATAAAGTGGAAGGTGAAGATAAGAAGTCAAAAAAAGAGGTAAAATTAAAAAGCTTCATTCCACAGCTTTTATTCTTCTATAAGAACATAAACATCATCTTTTTTTTTCCACGCACAGCAGCATTACAATATTAATTTATTCTGATTTAAGATTAGAAGTAAATAGAGCTAGAACTAACATTTATAATAACGATAGAATGCATTTGCATAAAACAAGATTGGCAATTTTTCATAATAATAGACATTTATACAGATTTGCATTTATAGTTTTTTTTTCTTTTTCTGCACCTACAGGTTTGACCCTTTTATGCATGTAACTTCACAGTATAAAGGAAACCAAACAATGTCTCCCTCTCTAGTCTATTCCGCTTGCCCCAGCCCTCCTCGGCTTCCATGAATTTTGGAAAGAAAAAAAAAAAAAGGAAGAAATAAAAAAGGGGGGGGACAAACCTCCACAAGATAGGGAGAGTTGTGGTGTGCTTGTCTTGTGTTACCAGTGGTAACGATTACTTTATGACAAAAATCCACTAAATCCACATGTATAAACAGAACTACATCAGATTATTTATCTATAGCCAGAGGATATGGAAATTCAGAGGAAAGGGAAATAATTTAGTCCCACAATGCAAGACCTTACACAAACTGGAAGAGGAGTTTCCTTATCCTGGTCTTTTTTTTTCCCCCTTCTTTTTTCTTTCTTTCTTTTAAAGCTGGGATATCTTACAGAGGAAGGAAAATGTCATCTTCCTGACTCCCTCCATGTTCCAATCAGCCAAAGTCAAGCCCTTTTGTCAACCTGTATGCCCATGCTCATAAGCCCTTCTCTTTGCCAAGGAAGAAAGGAAGAAAGAGAAAAGAAACCCAAGGGCCTGTATCCCCTGATTAAACACAGCCCAACACTTCAGGCCTGGGGGCCCGCTGGTGGCTCCTTGCACCATTGACCTCAGGCCAGACACCTCAGCGCCTACAATGGGACCTGGCCTTCCGGCTGGGTTTGCCCGGCCCCCCGCAGGAAACCAGCTCCACCGGGAGCACAGGGGCCATTTTGAGCAGTGGAGTCATCCAGACGACAAACCATCCCAGTTCGCACTTGACACTTGGGACAATCTTTATCTACATAGGATTTTAGAGCGATATGGCTTTACCCCAGAACACAACAACAAAAAACCAGCACCTAGCAAACAGACAAAGAAACAAAACGTCAGAACAAACCAGCCCTGCACTGATGTAATGGCCAGCGAAATGGCGAGTGTGGGAGGGAGGAACGGGCGCCCGCACAGGTGCGAGTTCCTGGGAAGAGGCTGAAGACAGAGGGAGGAGAATGGCTCTCTGGAAGCAGGGGGAGAAACAAACAAAAACAAAACGGCATTGCCTGGAGCTTCATCAGGAAAAATTAAAGTTGGCTGTCAGCTCCCGGATCCGGTTTTCTCGGTTCATTTTCTTCAGTTTCATCCTGCGGTTCTGAAACCAGATTTTAACTTGTCTGTCCGTGAGGTGGACGCTGCGGCTGATCTCGAGGCGCCGCTCTCGAGTAAGGTACATGTTGAACAGAAACTCCTTCTCCAGCTCCAGCGTCTGGTGCTTCGTGTAGGGGCAGCGCTTCTTCCGGCCGCTCTTTGCCGTGAGCCAGTTGGCTGCGTTTTCGCCTTTGGTATTGCCTGGCATTTTAAGGGAATAAAGAGAAGGTTAAATCCAGGCAATGCGGGCTGACTACCGGGGTGAATTTGGGCCTCCTCTGCCACAAGAGGGATGCCCTAAGTCACACACACAGAGGTGTGCTCCCCGCTCCCCGTTAGCTTGCTTGCCCAGGAAGAGCAGTTCCTCCAAAAGGAACGTGCAAAATCCAGTGGGCCCCCAATCTACACCCACCCTCCCAATTCACATTTTCATCCACTTCTTTCCAAACACCTGTTTTAGCACAAAGCTGCCAGGTGCTTGCAGAACGAAGGGCCTGGGAGATCAGGCCTGTATACCTTGAACTTAATGCCTTATTTTTTCCTTTGAGTTGTGCCCCAAGACATACAAGCATTTCCTGTAGCCCCCCAGCCTGGGGTCTGGGGTGCTTACTTGGTAGGGGGTTGGGCAGCATAGCTGTGTCTCACTGCAGCCCCCTCCTTGCCCAAGGCCTGGCGAGGAGAGGAAGACGGACATAGTTGGGACTTGGGGAAGGCATGCACACACACAAAAAAACTGATTGGGGTCAAGGGCCTGCCTGCCCTCACATCTCTCCAGGAGCCAGGGACATGCAGTCTGGCGACTCTGAGTTCCAGGGGAAGCGAAAAGGTCCCTCTCTGCCTCTCAGCTCAGGGCCCCGGCTCCCGGGCCGCATTTGCCTTTCTTCTACCCGCAACAAGGATTCCCGCCCCTGCAGCAACTTTGAAAAAAGCATGGGGGATCGTAAACTCGAACTTCGCCGGTTAATGGGCTTATTTATTGGTGCTGGCGGCTGCTTATTTTGGATGCCTTACAAACATCCGTGCTATCTGCGGGCGAGACACTTTCCCTCCCTCCCCTCCCCCGCGTGGGCCGCGCCTCGCAGCCTGGGCCCAGACCACGGGTGAGGGTGCTCCGGCCCACGGAGGACATGCACGAGAGGGGGGCTGCTCGCCGGGATCCTCGCCCCCAGCCGGGGTGAGCTGAGGCCAGCGCAGAGGACGTCTTGGTGTGGGGCACTAAGCTGGACATGAATTTTTACGGCGTCCCCACGCCCAAATATTAAAAAGCAAGTTCACAAGGTCAGGCTGCCTGCAGCTCAGGCCAAGGCCGGTCGGCTGCTGCGCGGACTCCTGGCTTCCTGCTCCTGCCCTGCGCTGGGCAGGCCTGCCAGCCTGCCCGCCAGCCTGCGGCCCGTGACGCGCCCTGCTTACCCAGGGAGTCCTTCTCGGGCGAGGCTTTGCTGCTCTCGGAAGGGGCCGGGGACAGCTCCTCGGCGGCCGAGGACGACGCGTGCGCCTCCTCGTCGCCTTGCGAGCCCCCGCCACCGCCGCTGCATGTCAGCGTGGGGGGCGGCGGCGAATCGAGGGCTCGCTCCTTCCGGGCTGCGTCCGCCGAGCCGGAGGCCAGCGCAGGTGGCGGGTCGAAGCCGCGCCCGGGGGGCTGCGAGGGGAACGGGCCGGCGCCCAGATGCTGCGCGCCGCCGCCGCCGTAGCCCTTGGCCGTGCCGTAGGCCTGGGAGAGGCGGAAGTAGCCGGGCACCGGCACCCCGCTGGAGCTGCCCAGGGCGCAGCCGTCGGGCGGCGGGCCCCGCGGGAAGGGGGCCAGCTCGGCGGCGGCGGCCGAGCCTTTGGGGCATTTGTCCGCCGCGTCGTAGAGGCAGTAGGAGCTCTCCTCTTTGATGTTCTGCGCGAAAGAGCACGAAGTGGCCTGCGGCGGGGGCTGGGGTTGTGGCGGCGGCGGCGGCGGCGGCTGCTGGGGCTGCGGCGGCGGCGGCCCCTCCGGCGGCTCCATCCGGCAAGACCGGGGCGCCTCCAGCCACAGGTCTATAGGCGCGGGCGGGTAGCCGTGCGAGCCGGGACCCAGGCCCCCGCCGCCGCCGCCGCCGCCGCCCGGCGACGCCGCCTCATTGCGCTTGCCTCCCAGAGCCGGGAAGAGCCCGCAGCTCTGCAGCCCGTAGGGCAGGTCGGCGGCCGGAGGCAGGTAGACCCCGCCGTGGGCGAAGTAGCCGCCGCCCCCCGTGCCGCCGCCGCCGCCGCCAGGCTCCACTCTGCCGGAGCTGATGAGCGAGTCGACCAAAAAAGAGTTCGCGGCGGGGCTCTCCGAGCATGACATTGTTGTGGGATAATTTGGCGAAGGGAGCAGATAGCCCTTTCTGGCTGACATTTCTTGTGCAAAACATGCTGAATACGATTAGCAATCCCCCCGCACCGCGGCGGGCGCCCGCAGCCAATCCTGAGCCAGCGTTGCCGCGCGACCACTCCCAGTTTGATTTCGTAGGCTTGGGGCCGCTCTCCGAGGGCGCCCTCCGAGCCCGCGATTGATATAAATATGTAATCTGTATTGACGGACCGCGAGACGCACACCCAATACCTCAGCCCCAAGGCCGGGAGCTGCGGGGGCCGCCCCGAAGTGGCCGGGGTCGGGGGAGGAACCTGGCCCTGGGGCTCGCCCAGCCCCTGCCCTGACTTGAACCCTCTTTGGAACTGTGTTTGCAGGGTCCTGCGGCCCCGCGCTGTGAACCAGCGGGGTGTTTATGGTGCGCACCCTGGCCTGCCTTGGGTGCTCCCCTTCCTTATTTCGGAATTTGCCACTAGCTCTCCGTCCACTCTAAACTCCGAGGGGTCCGAGGGGTCCTCTCAGGGCCTCAAGCTCTGTCCATTCAGGTCTGGAGCTGTCTCCCCAAAGTGGCAGACCTGGCCCTAGGCCACCAGGACCCTCAGAGTGAGTGCCTGAAGTCCAGAGCGACTGGAAGCTGGCAATTGCCACTTAATGTTTGCATCCCACACAGAATTTCCCCCAAAGTGTAATGCCCTGGCCCCCTGTACTCTCCTCTGCCAGTCTGTGGGTCTAGTTGGGTTCTTGGCCTCTGGTGCCCATACCCGCTTGCTCCTGGGTGGACCTTGCTGGGCTAGCATGAGTGGGGGGTGTGGAAGGAACTGGCAACCTGAAAGACTCCTCCGATCCCACTCTGAGTCCAGGTCCAGGCACCCCCAGCCCCATCACCCAGTCGGGCTCCAAGCCCTTCCAGGGAAGTGAAAGGAACGTTGGTCTTCAGGCAGGGTCTCTGGCTTGCCCTGAGGGAGGACCAGGAGGGGAAATTCGGAGGAGGGATGGCCAGCAGACACCTCTGACACAGTATTCTCGAGTTCTCCCTTCAGCCTTGGCATTCACATGCTCCTGGAGGCTACCTGTGACAGAAACCAGTGTCACCACACTCCTGCTTCCGTCCCCTCCTTCCTTCCTCCTCCCCTCCAAACCCGGCCAGAGCAGCCCTCACTCCCGCAGTATATGCATTTTAAGGGGGCCCACGGTGAGGAAATCTGTTCCCTGCGAGGCAGGGCCGGGCTCCTGGCCCAGAGATGGCAGCCTTTAGGGGATAGGCCCTTTGCTGAGCAGACCCCCAGGTCTCCTTCTTCCTTGGCTGCCAGGACCTGCTCTAAGTCAACTGGAAACGGCGGGCCCTTGGCGCTAGCCCCCAAGTGTGGGCCTCATACTGGTCTCAGGAAACTAGACCTTTTCCGGCCGGATCCAGTGGAGCCCGGGAGGTCGCGGCCTTGCCCCTGGCCTGCGGGCTACAGCTCCCCAGGATGCCCCAGGCCTGCCTGCCCCACCAGCTCCAGCCCCTGCGGAGGCCTTGACTGGGGCTGCTGCGCGCTGAGATCCCAGGCAGCCAACCGGCAGGGCTCTGCGCCGCGGGGAGAGACCCTTGCATCCCGGGTGATTTGTCAGGCACGTAGCCTTGTTCTTCCAAGTATAAACCAAGTCCAAGGAGGAAGTGAAGCCTGAGAGGACCCAGGAAGAGCTCTCAGGAGAGTGGGCGACAGCGCCCGAGAGCTGGCTTCTGAGATGCAAGCAGCTACGGTCTCTGTGGGAGCAGCTACTGGGAGCGCAGAGCCCCAGGGCCGCGCCAACGCTTGCGCTGCGCTGCGCTCCAACCACTTCCACCTCTGCTACCCGAGGTTACTGGCTCTGTGGGCTGGGCATCCGGGACGGAGAAAAGGGAAAGGGAGGAAGCAAGATCGAGAGGGACAGAAGGTGAGAAGAACGGAGGGAGAGGAAAGTGAGAAGGTGATAGAGCAAGCCAGTTCTTCCCAATCTGACAGGGTCTTGAGGCTGCGGCATCCATGCAGCAGAACCAAGTGCGGGAGATTAGGAACTACCCTTCACTCTCCATGTCGCTTTCAGGACAAGACCAAGGCACATTCTAACCTGGCGAAGCCCCTGAGGCCCACGAACTTGAGCACAGAAAGGTGTCAGAGCGCCTCAGCCTCGGGCCCTTCTCCGATGGGCCTGGTCCTTGCCGGGCTTGCCTTGCCAGGAGGGTGGAGCTGACAGGACTGCTGTGCTCAACAGTGCTGCGGAGAAATGCTGGGCTTTGCCCCCCAGTGCTGTTCATGCCTCTCCGGAAAGCTCTGCCAAGTGGAAAGTAGGTCACAAGAACGAGAGGGTTTCTTGAGGAAAACACGAGCCCCATCAGGCCAGTGGGCCAGGACTTTGTGCCTTTTCAGACTAGAGGCAGAAAGCGATTACCCAGACCACAGGTTGGGAAGGGCCAATGGCCATAGGATAGGTTGCTTGAGAGGGGCGGCTAAGAAAATAAAGTGAAAGACTATGATCAAAACCCGTCTTTCTTCACCTTTTTGGAAGTTAAGATCCCTTTGCAAAACTAAGGCCAAGTCCCTCCTCTTGACCTGCGGAAAATGGTAGTCTGTGCATTCCCACAATTCGACCCATCCTTTTCCAGGAGTTCAGAGACCCCTCAAAGCCAAGGCCCTCCAGGATGTTCTAGGACTCTCCCGGAATTCAGCTCCCCTGATGATCGGACTGGTCACACAAGCCCAGTGCCCTGTGTAAGCAGCTCTGGCCTGGTCTGATCAGGGCCCGGTAGGGTGGCCAAATGGGCTTCTAGGCTGTATGGGATCCAAGAGCATGCACATGCCAATCCAAGCTACAGAAGTCAGCTTGATGCTGCATCTGCTGCAAGAAGGCTCCTGGCTCCCAGACCATGGCATTGGCACTTGGGCCTTCCCCGATCTTTGGGGAGAACTGGATGTTTTTCTCCAGCATTATTCTTGCACCCCACCCCTTGTAATAAACCAATTGGGATGTTTCCTTTGTGTTGTTTCTTGCTTTGTTTTTTTTAAGCGTGTAAACCTATGTGAGAGCCCCTCTCTGACCTAGGACCACGGCCCAACCCCAAGCTGGGCCTGCAGCGCCGAAAGCCAAAGAAGTGGCTGCGGGTAAGCTTGGGACGCACACTGGCCTGCTGGTTGGAACAAGAAGGTATCAACGTAGCAGAAGCTCAGGTTAAGCCCTCTCAGTCGGTCTGGAGCTCTCAGCATCCCTGACCGCCCCAAGGCTCCACACTCCCCAGACTGTAACGCCGAGGTGTTAGCTTGCTCAATAGACTATTCCATTTATCGAGCGCCTCGGCTTCCCTCAGGTGCCCCCCGCCCCCGCCCCCTTCCAGAGATTAAGAAAAGCGATTCAATTGCAGCAAGGCTGGCTGCAGGACACACTCTCTCCGCTTGCCCGTTTGTCTCTCTTCCTTTCCCCCTCCTTCCCAGCTGCTGAGTTTCTCCCTCGCCTTCTGGATGCCTTTGACCTAAAACTCGGTGGCTGCTTGCTTCAACCAGGCCTGCCAGAGCCCACGTTTTATTTAGGAGTAAACATCGCCTATTTCTACCTGGTAGTAATACCCCTCCCCCATGGCTGTGGAGCCAAAGTAAAGGCCAGCCAGGCGAGTGGAATAAACCCTTTGGCGATGCAGTTCACCGGACAGCGGATTCCTCCTCCTGAGAAAGCCCTTGCAAACCACCACAAAAATCAAACTGTTATTACAAAAAGTTCCTTAAAATGTACTAGTTCCTGAGATTGAGATAGGCAGTAAACAGTTTCTATCTGAATGTTTTTGAGACTCAGACCGGCCATAGAGTTGGGCTTTGGCCCACAGAGGAAAAATCATCGCTACGTTCACATATCCGCTTTAACAAAAAATTCTGGACTGCCCTGATTCCTGCATTTACTGCAGAATTAGAAAAAAATTTTATAAGCAGTGACATTCTTTTCCACATCATCTTTAGGAATAGTAATATTTCCAGGGATATTTGATGTATTTGCTTTGAATCAATCAGGTGCAAAGCAGCCCGCTTTTTTTTTTCTTTTTCTAAATCCAACAACTGAACTGGTCCTGTTCTCCTGATAGGGGGAGTGTTGAGGCCTTTTCACGCACATCCTAAGCTGCAATATTCTTAGTTTTGTCCCTAGTAAACTGCCTCTGTCTTTGAAACTCCTGGCAGCTCTGGGATTTTAGGGATGGCTCAGGCTGCAGAGAGCGCCGCGTGGGTGCCCACTCCTTGGCTGCCTTATTCTGGCAGACTTTGGGGGCCTGTGCTCAACAAAGACTAGTGACTTTGGAGGTGAAAATTTACACATATGTACACACACACACACACACACTGGCAGCACTTACTTTCTCTAAGATTCCCCCGTTCGCCCATGCACTGCATGCTTGTGAAAAAAATAGCCAGCTCAAGAAACCATATGAAAACATATTGGAATAAAGATGTTAATACAGGAAAAGAGGGAATTTGAATCTGCCCTCCAAAATGTAAGTGAAATGACTATTTTGAAATTGTTTTAGGACAACCCTGATGGAGGGATGGTTGACCCTAGTTTGTCCTCGGTGCCAGCTTTTTAAAATATATAGGCATTTGCCAGTACAATGGTAGCATCCTTGCAAAATATGCAAAAGATCTCAATTTTACATCTAAGAAATTGCTGCAAAATCCCAGCCAGGTTTATAGCGGTACCGTCCAAATAAGTGGCAAGACTTATCTGGAAGCCTTGGAAATCAAACGCCACTTTTCTGACTTGGCCTTTTGGGGAACAAAGGTTTCCCGCTGGCTGCTAGGCAGACCTAGAGACCGCACCTGGTTGGAAACCAGCGACCACCGCCGTCTGCCCCAGGGAATAAGACCGCCCCAGCGACCACGGTTGCTGACCACCTCATTGTTTGAGTAGAAACTTTTCTGTTTTCCCCAGTCCCGCCATCTCTTTCTCCCCAACACAAACCCCTATTCCAGCACCGCCCAGACTCTTCCTCTTAGATGCCCCCCATCCCTGGCTCATCCATTCTGAATACTTTTACAAAATGGATGGGTTGCCTTGGGTTTTTAGCGGCGCAAGGAGCTGAAATCGTCAACTTTCCCACTTAGGCCTCCCCTTTCCAACCTTAGGGAGCTAGGCGGAGGTAGGTGGGCTGACCACCTATAGCGTCACCCGGGAGCGCACAAACCCAGCCACTCTCCCCTGCCCCGCTCAAGCATCGGCCACCTCCCTACTCCCGCCCCAGCCCGTTTGAAATCGCTAAACTTGTGGCCTCTTACCTGGACACATTTCCGA